TTACAAACATATTCTCAGCATGTGAATCTGGGTATTGTTGGGCCATGGGCAAGAGCTACAAATCTGTATCTGAGAAACACATAATTAAAATTTAACCAGTGGCTGGCACATATTCAATGTGTGTGGTCAGTGGTTGGTTAAGCCTTCATGTGATCTAGATTCTTTCCAGTCAAAGGACCCCACCCCACAACAAGCCAAAGTTCTCCTGGCTCCTTGCTGATGCAAACTTGTGCTTTTCCATTAGTCTCTAAGCATCTCTGGTGGCAGGGGATCCACTAAGTACACTTGGATCCAAACTTTGGTGTCTATGAATCCTACCTTAATCTGTCCTTGGCTACACTCAGGCATGGTGCTGTCACTCATTTGGGTTTATTAATGCAGAATGACTCTCCAGTATATGTCCCTAGAATAGTGTATAGGGTTTCTAAGAAAACATTGAAAGGATGCAGCATTTTTGTGGTGAGAGGCATGGTGCAGTTTGGGTGTTTGTCACACTTGAAAAGCAAGCATGTGAGGTATCTCAGGGCTTGTCTACCCATGGAGTAACTCTGGAACTATTCCAGAATAACTCAGTGTGTGGACACTATTAGGAATCAGAGTTCCTTTTTCCAAAATAGCTTAATCCACTTTACAGGAACAATATTTTCAGAGAATATTTTCCAGTATATGACATAGAAACTGATGATCGGAAGAGAGGGCAGTAAACACTTGTGTTTTCCTGACAGTACTTTGCTCTAGTGACAGTAGATGGGGTTGAACCAAAACTTTGGTTCCTAACATCCTTGAACTTTGAGGAGGATGTACTTTGGAATTGTAATCCAAATCTCCATTTCACAATCTACAATTTGATAAATCATGACTCAAGTCCCAATCAGTTTGCAAGTTTTGGATTGTTTGAAATCTACATTTACATCTACTTTCTTTAATTGGAACAGAAATCCTCACTTGAGATCGGAAATGCCAGTATCTTAAGAGTAGTCCAGCAGGAGCCAGGATCTCCATCTACCCAAGAAAAACAATTATATTAAGAGAGTATAGAAAAAATATCCCAAACTTATCCAGCAGCTAGAATAGAGTGTGGTTAGAGTGGAGTGGAAAACTAGTATCTACTGCCGAGGGCTCCAGTAGCAACAGTATATGACATTGAGTAAACAGATTAATATGCCCCTAGATATTTGGTACTCCTATTTCAGCAAAAGACACACAGAGAAGTGAAAATGGAAGACACATTGAAAGAAATGGATTATTCCTAAGCATATTCAATATATATCTAGGTGTCACGTCTCCAAACTGGTCTCATCCTTGGAGGATTCTTCATAAAAGCTCATTAGGTCAGGGGTGCTGGAACAATTTGTATAGTGTGGGTGCTGAGAGCCATTGAACCTAACTATAAACCCTGTTTATGATGGAAACCACTTCAAGCCACCCCTAGTTCCAGCAGCTATGCTTCCTCCATTAGCAACCTTTGTAGCCATCCCTCCTGGAGAGAAACACATACACTAGTTCAAAATGCATTCTCCAGATTCGGGGTGGTCTTCCTGGTCCAGGACCTCTGGTCCACGGAAGGCCCTAATCCTTAGGGAAAGATTGGAAGGACTTGGCCAACTGAGGCCTCATAAGACTGGGCCTCATAGCTCATTTCTCTGAGCTAAAGCTGTGAGGGACTTATAGCTACAAGGAAACCCTGAGGATAGGGCGTTGAAAGACTTTTCCTGTCAAAGCCCACTTTGGAGTTGGGATGAACTCTGGTAAATGTATTAATATGTACAGGTTCTTTTATTGTTTTTAATGTGCTTTCTAGTGCTTTTAGTCTTAAGAATAAAGTACACTTTTGTATAAAGAGCTGTGTGGTAACTTATACCTGTAGCAATCACTCCATTATTAGTCTCTGACAAGAAAGCAAGCAGGTCCGTTTAGGCACACTGTCTTTGCTGGGAAATACACAGGGAAGGCAGGGAACTGTGCAGTCAGAACCTATCCTGCTCAGAAGGGAGTGAAATGTAGGTCTTCACTCAAGAGAGGCAATATGAGGGGAGGTGGAAGCTGAGAGTGAGTGTCTCTGCTGGGACACCAAGGGGAAATACAGGCACAGTGCTCTGAACTGTGACAGTATGTTCCTCCCACCCTGTCTTCTGGCCTTGCATTGGCAGAGATAAGCATTTAACCAGGTTCACTGTGAATTTGTTTGAGGTTCAGGCTCATTATGAACTCCAATTCCTCCTGTCATAGGCTCTGCTTTCCTTATCCTTTGCTGTGTTCAAACGAGTCCAGGGGCCTGTCTCCTCCTCCATCCTTCTCAGACAAAGTAGCCCTGCATGTTAATAGAGAGGAGAATGCAGGAATGGGCTGCTTTCTCTGTGATTGCTAACAGTGTTCTGTGGAGACAGGCAGGGGGACGAAAGTGCCTGCATGTGCATACTGCAAAACAAGCTGGAAAAGAAAGGCTGTAATTAGTCACTGCAGGGAGCAAAGAATTTGAGAATTGTACAGGTAGTTGGAATTTGTGCTGGATATGGCAGGTGATGGGATGGGGGATCAGGAGTGTTGTGGGGAGAGGGATGAAATTACCTCTTGCTAGCAGTTCTGGAAAGAGGAATTGGGGTTTGTGCCGGAGTGAGGCGTCAGTTCAATCTCTTACTGGGAAGTGACTAGAAGGTTAGGGAGGAATCAAGACTTGGGTGTGAAGGGATCTGGTGGCATGGGATAAGGAGCTGAGGCATTATGTGCCAGGTATGATTGGCTTGGAGACACCGGAAAAGTTAGGGACTCCAGGAGGTAAGCTGGGCTAGAAATTGGGCTCAACTTCTGTTGTTCATGGGTTAGGAGGGTAAGTAATTATTGGTGGTAGTGGGATGGCAAAATAAATGCAATACATATAATAGAGCTGTAATTTAAACAAACAGTAAATACACAGACTTAACTGCAACATTCACATTCCATATTTCATAATATTAATTAACTTAACAATCATATCTCCAAAAAGCAGTTCAGCTTTCGCAAATACTGTTCCTTGAAAGGAAAGGATAGTGTCCCATACAATAATACTTCAAGCTTTGCACGTTGGAAGTGCTGTAAAAATGTTACCCTCTTGATTTACTTAGCACCCCTATAACGTAACCTGGTCAGTACTATTCCTATTTTATAGATGGGAAAATTGAAGCACAGAGAGAGTGATTTATCCAGTGCCACACAATCCATTAGGGCAGAGTCAGAATTAGAATTCAGGAGTTCCTGGGTCCTTGTCCCATGCCTCATCCATTAAGTCTCATTGCTTTCTATTATTGCAACATGCTTGTGCAGGTTTGAAATACAAGATGTTTCTATTAGCAGAAATATTACTATAAAATGTTGCACAACTGGAGAAATATTTCTTTTGAAAACAGATTTCACTTTTGTTTTTAAAGTTTAGCAAATCAACCTAATAAATGAGGTTTAAAAATATGAAAGGTTGCCAGTTTGCTATCGCTTTAAGTAGCTGGACTGAGATTGGAAATCAGGAGTCTGCTGTTGACTTCTGATGTTACTCCTTTTCTCACATAGCCTCATAGAAAATTGTGTCTTAGTCCCAAGGTTCTGCAAGGGGTATTAAAATCATGCTCCAACATTTCTTATCTTAAATTGTTGTTCTTAAAGGGGTCCTAAATGAGAGTTGCTCGTGATGTCAACCTCCAGCACACCTGGAATAAAATTGTTCAAAGAAAGTAGACAGAGGCAGGGCCGGCTCTAGGCACCAGCAAAACAAGCTGGTGCTTGGGGCGGCATGGCCAGCGCCAGAATGCCGCCCCTAAAAATGTGCCCCGGCCGCCCTAGCTCACCTACGCTGCTGCCGCTCACACACCACGGCACGTGAAACAGCTGATTCGCGCGCCGCTGCTCACCCTCCCTCCCAGGTTTGAGAGCCTGGGAGGGAGGAGGCAGGGCTGGGGATTTGGGGAAGGGGCGGAGCTGAGGCGGGGCTGGGGATGGGGTAAGAAAAAAAACGGGGGTGAGGGGGCGGCCGCCAAAATTGTTCCTGCTTGGGGTGGCAAAAATCCTAGAGCCGGCCCTGGACACAGGCCATGTTACACTAGGAGCGCTTTACCAGAGTTAGGCATACTGATGTACTATATTGGCCAAGTGCTCCTAAGTTTGGATGTAGCTTATACTGGCAAAGCAGTGCTCTTAGTGGTATAGCTTATTTCTCTGTCTCTCCTCCCACCTCCCTCAACCCAAGTGAAACAAGCTTTATGGCAAAAGCTCAGTTTTGCTAGAATAACTGAATCTATACTAGAGGCTTTTGCTGGCCCAGCTGAGTTGGTCAGAGATCACATGTCTTCACACTCCTGACCAACAGTGCTATGCCAGAGGAAGTCTTGTCTTCTGGGTTCTCCAGTACCTGGATATGCTCGGTGCTTATTTTCAAAATAGTCAGTTGAAGTTTGACTCACCAGGGCTATGTCTACACTACGATCTTGGCTGGCATAGCAATGTTGATTAGGGGTGTCATCCCTGATTGTCAGAATTGAGCCAGCAGAAACTCCTAAGGTAGACAGTTACACCAGCAAAACTGTGCTTTTACTGATTGTGTGTGTGTGTGTGTGTGTGTGTGTGTGTGAGACAGAGAGAGAGAGAGCGAGCGAGGGGGATAGACAAAATTGCAACTCTGCCACTATAAGCTGTCCTCACTAGAAGTTCAATATCGGTATAGCTATATCTATAAAGCACCACTCGTGTAGTCATGACATGAGTTTTGCCAGTGGTATTTTCTAGTTCAACAGCCCAATCCCACCATCCTTTTTATCTTTGCTTCCCTGAGCGTTTACGTGTTTATTTTAGCCAGTCAGCTTTTTGTAAGGTTAATTTCAAAGAATATCCTTCCACTTCATTCTCAAATGAGAAGTCTCTTGTCTGCTGTTCTATGTAGGGTAGCACTCAGGATTTCAACCATCTCATAGGCAGATCTCCCTGTTCAGTGAGAATAAGGCAGAGGACACCTCGCTGAATAATAAGATTTTATGGTCTCTCTGATGGGTGACCAGACTTACAATAATTTAAACTCTTAAATTTAGGCTTTCTAAAAATCCATTCAGTAACCATTTTTCATACAGAGACTCAAGTGGAGAAAATTTCCAGAATATAGGAATTTATAAGCGAAGATGATGATACAATTTCTAGACGTCTAAGAAACTTTGCCCCTCAGTCCTATGACAAAGTGTTGCCTAAATACTGAAGTTTAATTTGTAAAGTAATACATTTGGTTTCTAGGTAGTACATCAATACAACATATTTGTAAATAATGCCTCAATCCCCAAAGCCTGGACCTTGTATCATTTATTTCCATACAGTATGCACAAGCAGGGCATGGCCTTTAAAAAATCATTCAGCAGTTAATATTTTGTGTTCTCATTTGGCGTGGGACAGAAGTATCTGGATTCCATTGGTATAAATTGTTGCAGCACCACTTCTTATATGTGTTGGTTCGATGGCTCTCAGCACCCAACTGTAAACCCTATATCTAATGGAAACCACTTCAAGCCAGGGTGCTCCCACATCTCCAGCGCCCCTAGTTCCAGCATCTATGAATACAGGACATTTTCAACACCTTAACTGGAATTTTAATCACAAAAGGTAGTACAAATAATGTTCTGTCTGGATATTTTCTAGGTAACTACCATTTTAATACTTCTACATGCTGTGTGGTTTTAAGTGGCTGATCACATATATAAAAGGATCATTAATTTAATTTTTCGCTTCAGAGAATTCAGGTGTTAAGTTGTTGCTGGTTGGCGCTAAACAATATTCCTCTGAACCCCTTCAAAATCAATAAAACATGCTGAGATTTCTTAGTTCCAGGAAAGACTGGGTTATTCAGAACTTTGTTGGTAGTAGTAATATGCAATGTGGATATGGTATATTCTTGGGAACAAACATATGCTATTTTGGGCTGTAAATGTTAGACGCAAAAGTAGTACTGATGGGTGTCTTTGTAAACCGCATGATGATGTCTCCCCAAGTACTATAGCATCTGCACTATATGTATACCAGGTACAGTACTCCCTGTGCTAGGCAGCTTTGCAAGGAGTCTATCAGGAGGTTTGACTAGTGTAATAATGTACTAAGTCTTTCAGCAAGTAAAACTTCATTCTTCTTTGAGGATTCAGACTACTACCTGGTGCAGATTTTGTGGTAGTTCTGGCTTTTTGCAGCAGCTTTGTTTTGTTTGATGAAAGGATCTGTGGCATCTCTGAAGATTTTGTACTTATGACCCTCAAGGAAAGCTAAACGTAACTACACGAAACTACAGTCCGCTCCCAATTGCAGTGCAGGGTGCAGTCTCCAAATCTAGCCGCTCCATTCTTATTCCAAGAGGCACATCTTGTGGGATTTCTGCTCAGTAATGTTAGCTGGCCCTTGTTGCCCAGGTGACAGTGAGATGACTCATAGCATTACGATGAAGGTAATACCAACACTGGCGGTAACATGCACACAACAGTGGGAGATAGGTCCCTAACTGATGAGACAAGCAACAAGGTTAATAGCTTGATCATCACGTTATCTGGTACAGCACTTTTGAGGCCCTATATTAAACGAGCATTGGGAATACTTATGTGCAAACTTGTTTTCCCGGAATGGTTCTTCAGTAATTCATTTACGTCATACAAAAATAGCTAGGATATTTCCTTCTTGAATATGTACTTATTTTTCTTCCTTCCTCCTTTTCCCCTGTTTAATCTGCACAACAAAAAGGATAAAAGCATTTTCTAAATGTTTGACTCAATGGTTTCATTATAGTTACGGTGCATCAATGACACAGAATCTTCGGAACAAACATGCAAGTCGGCAACAGCTAGATGCTTTGAATAAGGGCTTTTAAACTTTGTTAGAGCTTTCTTTTGATTATTCCCCCCCACCCCCCGACAAAAATCAACCAACCAACCAAAAAAAAACCCCAAACCCCACCTTGAACAAATACTTTGTTTAATCTTCCTTGTTTATTATCTTTTGGCTTTAGTTATATCATCAGTTGTCTAGGTTTTAAAAATAGATTTAGAACTTGTATTCAGATACATGGAAAAATTTGGCTTCTAATAACTGAAAATGTCCAGTATACAGAACCGGCACTCTAGCAGAGCAGTAGAGAGCACCAGCAGTTACAATTCTTGAACCTATGTGGAACACAGCTTAAACTGTAACATTTTTTCCCCTGTGGTTGCTTTGTTTAGTTTGATTTAAAATGTGAAACTGGGTTCAGAGTTCCTTAAAGACACAGTTAGAAACAAAGACTTGCTCAGTAAAACAGTGTGCAGAACTGTGTTGAATACAACTCAATGTCACTGCATAGGATGTCATGACATGCTTGTATTGCTTGAAGCTTTCCAGTGATAATGGCAGCTTCATTTTTGAAAAATCTATTAGTTCCAATCCCATTTTAACTTTCACTTTTTTCCCCATTGATCAACAAAGATTAAAATTCTCTGATCAGTAATCTTAGTAGGATTTTTTTTTAATAGCTTCCATTTTGGTGCAGTGCAGACTTTTGGTTTAACTGGCTGAATTGATATTCTGAGCAGCAAGTAAGCGAGGATGACAGAGCATCAGTACAGCTACTCCTATTAGTGCTCAGGGAGGTATGCTTAGTTGTAATTGCCCGCTCTTGTCTAAGAGGCAGCGCAGTCACGAATCACTGCTGTCCTTAGGATACTCTACAAAAGCTTTCAACTTTGAGGCATAATGTTTTATACATGCTTTTAAGAAACAGATGCATTTTCTCTGTATTTAGTCATTTTCTATATAGAATGTGTTTCACGTGCAGAATCTGAGCTTGTAGTTTGTAAAATACAGTGACTAGGACAATGAATATTTTGCATGTTTAAAAGACATTTGTAAATGTGCTTACACCGTATATGTGCTTTGGGGCAAATGTTGACAGTAATTAACTGTGCTATTATATGTAAAATTTAATGTTTTGAAAGGACAGGTGGCTCTCCTTTTGCCCTGTATCAGTTGGATTATTTTTTTCACAGTAGGTGCTTTAAATGCTTATTGTACAGCTATGGCATGGTATGTCCTCTAGTTTATGCCCCCACACCTCCAGCCCAATACGTTCATGTGTTTATTCCCGATATGAAGTTGTAACTTTCTAAAAATACTATGTAGACAGTAGCTGCTTCAAAACAATATGCAATAATTCCTCAGAAACTGAAAAGTTAACGTTTTAGATGTTACAGTTTGAAGAAAACTGTGCCCTCCCCTCCCCTCCCCTCCCCAAGAAAGGATGGCTCTTTCCAATAACAAAACCCCGATATTTTTAGCATGAAGCATTAAAAGGGTTCCTACGTCCTAATCGGTAAAAAATGCTGAACATTACTACCATGTGTTTATTTGGTTTTTACAATATATGCTAATGAGATCAATTTAAATTAAATTTAGTGCTGGCTATGTGCTCGTACTGTATTGGCTGTTAAATTTGTGTAAGAGCATAGTACTGTGAAATAAACACAAATATTGTACGACTACTGCAGACCCAGAAGCACAAAATATTTTTTCTGGAATAATAGGAATATACAGTATATATTTGTGTTGTGCTGTTTTTCTTTGTTTTTTACCTTTGCTTGCAAACATATTTATTATTGGCAAAATATAATTCTAGGTAACATAATTTGAAATACAGAAAATTGTATTCTGTTGCCTATTGAATTTGTCACAAAATTAAAAAAATAAATTGGAAAGCACTTGGCACTAAAACCTGAAATTCAGAAAATAGCTCTGCAGCCTGTGTCTGATCACTGTAAAGATTAAGTGAATTTGTTGCTTTCCCTCACCTCCTCTAGTCCCCTCCATACAGAATCTTTTCCCCCTCCTTCTTCTCAAATGATAGCGATAGAACTTGACAGTCCTTGTCCTTGAAGGTTTCTCCCGTTTCGGAGTAAGTGGCATATTCCTGGTAGTTTGCCATCTTCCGTTTTTGTCATTATCCCAAGGGAAGTATTAAAACCACAAACAACAACATGGTGGTTCAGTCCATTTTCCTTACAGAGCAACATTTTCTTCCCTTACTGTAGCTGCTGTTCGCCTTCCTTCTTCAGCAATCTTAAACCGCAGGCAATAAATGTACCCTGTGCTTGCACTCTGCTAGCAAGATGCTCTGACAGAAATATCAGCTCTCTCCCCCACCTGCTTGGTCAGGAATGGTACAGTCTGCAGAGGGACTCCTGTAATGTAGCTCAGCTTATCAATCCCTTACAGATGCCGAACAGTGATTACTCCGCTGTGTAATTGAAATCATTTTGGATTTGTGATGATATCTTAGCCAAGTAAGTAGCGACATCCACAGCATGAAAATAAAAAATAAGAGCGTTCCCCTGTCTGTTCTGTGCTTGTTTATTTGTCAATTCTTTTTTTTTTCTTGGAGGCAGAAGCTGATGAGAAAATGGTGTGGAGACTTGGTTTGAGTGGTGCATTAGATTTTAGTTCATGTCCTATGAATCTCTGGAAAGGTAATTCAACTTCTATAGAATATTATATAAGAAAAACCAGAAACTGCATGGCAGAAATAATCCAATGAGATTTTGGAGGTTGAAAATAGAGTATAGATTTTTTTTTTAAAGTCAAAGTGGTAAAGGTTTTCCTTAAACCAGTTATTTAATGATGAGAAAACATGTGGATGCTTTTATCATTATTGATATTCAAATGTTAGTGATTTTTTTAAACAGAGTGCAAAGAATACATTCTAAAACATAAGTAGTACAGAGATACTTTTTGGCTGATGATAATCTGGCCATAATATGTATGACCTTATGCTAGACAAAGGTAGGGGTGTGTGTGTGTGTGTATATATATATATGTGTGTGTATATATATGTATATATATATATTTAAAAAGATTCAAGTCTGAAATGAGTTTATTTTTCATAGCTTGTCATAAATTTTCAAGATGCACTTTTGAAAGTAGAGAAATGTTGACATAAAAATCATAGCTCCTTTACATTATGATGGATTAGAGTATACTGCTACATATAAAGGTAGGGAATTTCATGGTAATTTTTAGCGTATGGCATAGTGTTTCCCGAAAAAAGCCGTTCTGTGGCATATGATGTAATAGGTATTATTCTATACACAGATCAGATTTTTAAAGAAAAATTTAAAAAATCCTTTATGAATACTGCATGGAAAAGCTTTATACATATCATAAGGATAATGCTTTAACAAAAAAAGTAAGATTACTGGAGTCTTTGTCTATTATGTAAAGGGAGATTCTGCATGTTTGATCTCTGGTTGTGGAACTGACAGTTCGTCTGTCTGACTTGGACTAGGCAGCAGTCAATCTGTTCTCCAGCCTTTGATTTCGTGACTTTAAGTTGTCCTATACAAGCTTAGCCAGTTGCTTTTAAAATGCACATTGCTACCTTTGACTAATGAGATGATTACTTTAGGCAGTCTTGGAAGCATTGAACTGTCAGAAGCAGATGCTTAGTGCTGTATTTTCTTTACCTTCTGGAAGGTAAGTTATGAAGTTGCTAAAAAGATTGTTCATTCTTTCATAACGAAACTATTCATTTCACCATGCACACTTACACAAGAAGGACTGTGTATTTATCCTGACTTATGATTGTTCAACCTTTTGTTTACATCCCTTTACTGATTGTATTAAAGGATGAAGAAGGCATTATGATGATTAGGCTGTTTGTAAGATAGCAGACGTGCTCAGTGTGGGAAAATTGTACCTTCACTTCTAGAATATTTGGTTAATAGTGGATATATGAAGTAGGAGATTGATGAATGGTGCTTTAAAATAAGAACATTTTTTTTCTTTTTTATCTGGAAAGAGAGCTAACAGATCTGCTTCATAATACCTTATATTGTAAGATGTGTTTGACTAGAATTTAATTTTGTGAAAGGTCGTCCGTTTGCATGACTAGCTCTCCTACCTTGCTAACGAGAACTGCTTGACACAGGTATATAGCAGGTCTTTGATCACATACAGCTTTTACTTTGTTCATGTTCTTCTCATTTTGGTGGAAATTGCTACCTGTGAAGAAAGTGTTTCATATTTGCACTGGAGTGCTGGTAAAACAAATAGGTTTGCAAAGAACGCATGCGAATATGGGTTTTGGAAAAGTTGTACATTGTAATGCTGCATGACTTATTTTTTCCCCCTGAATTCCTATAGAGAATTGATTTTGGCCCAGCACATCAGAGTTAAATATACTTACATTTCCACTGGAAAGGTCAATTTTTTTCCTATTGCACATGGACAGTGGCTGATATCTCCCATATTTTATGCACATATTAAAAGGGTTTATGGGTGCGTATTAATACAGCTTTTGAGGACAGTTTCAAATTTTCATTAATTACAGGTTTGGGAAAACATGGTAATATTGAGCTGGACATCATACTGTTAAGTGCTTTCATAGTGACTTTTGTTAAGTGCATTTCTCTTTGAATTTCTTATCATGTATCTTGGAAACAGTCTCAGAGGGTTAATTTTATTTCTCCCCCCATCCCACGTTTAAAATATTCCGCACATCTTTTCAGATGCTGTAGAATCTTGACTGATTTTTATGCTCCTGTATTTTGGTTTCTGAAAGTGTGATGACATGTTCTGCTGTTTATTTTTGAATAATTAGTAAAAGAAGTGTGTTAATATTTTATTCAGATCTCACTTTAAATTAATAATTCCAAATCCCTGTAGTTGCACTTTCTGTAGGCATGGATATAATCATTTCAAATTCCACAAAAAAAATTAAAAAGACATGATCTTGTAAGTACATTCCCTACTTTTTATGTATTTAAATTGCACCTGACTTCCTTAATACATTCAAATACATTTACCTAAATGTAGCTTACAGCAACGCTCTGAGACTGGATGACAGCTGATTTACCCTACAAGGGGACCTTGTACTGAAGTGTATCAACTCTGCCTTTAATATATTGCTATATCCAATAAGTTTTAAAGCAAATATTTTCAGAAGAAAGGAAGGATTTGCACCATACTTTTACTTAGCTCATACTGCTGTGCTTTTCAGATTTGCTTTTAGACAATGGGAAAAATGTTTGTTAGTTACATTAATATCCTGTATTATCTGGTCAGGTTTAAAAACATTCATCATTTAAATGACTAGGTTTTGAATTAATTAAAAAAAAAGACAAAGGGTCAATTGAATAAAAGAAAAATGAGTGAAATTATTTTTAAAATATCGCATTTTAGCTTGGTTTGGTAATTCATAGTTCATAGTTTGGTAGTAAAGTTAATGACAGAATCCTTTGTGCTTTCAATAGGATTCTTTTTTCCTTAAGCCAATAAGGTAGCAATAAATCTGCTTTGAATGGAGACTTCAGCATGGTCTGGCTGCTAATCAAGAAACAGAAATCTGTCTGTCTGATTGGTATACCTGTGCTGCCTTTGCAGCACCTTCTTGCCAGGCATTGTGCTAGCAAGTAGCAAATCTTACTTTAGATTCCATTTGCTAAAGCCTTAAAATGTACAGCAGTTGCACTCTATACTGTAAATGGGATGCAGAGGTGTATACTGTGTGATTGTCTCTGTGTGTGTCTTGCTCACAGATAAAGTATTGCTCAACATAGCTATTTGAAATATTTTGTTAAGCTATGTTTTACTTATTTTACATTATTCTTACTTAAAAGTTATCTATTTTAACTACTCATATATACATTTCACTTTGTATTTTTATACATATAATAATTATGAACAATGAGTATTTTACTGTTTTTGTTATGTAAAGCAAGTTGGTGCAAAACATGCATAAGTACATATAATTTCTAATTTTGTTGTCTGGAAAATTAGACTGGTAAGTCACATGGATGTAAGGGAAAGTTCTTCAGCAATAGTAATATTTCAGTTTTTATATTAGGTTTTTTAAAATTAATAGATGAAAAAGAAATGGGGTATATAGTTGCAAAGATAGTCAGCGAACAGCTGCAATATATTGTTTAAAATAACAATAGAAGGATAGTTACAAAAGTGTACCATCAGAAAAGATAAAATAAACTTCAATATGAAACAGTGGGTCAATGAGCTAAGAACCCTAATTTATATGGGTTGGCCACCTGGGTATCCAAGACAGCATGATTGAGAAATGGTAGCCAAATTGCAAAATACTGTTCTGTTTTATCACACTTCAGGTAAGTAAGCTTCTCTCTAACCAGTATGTCCCCTACTTCAAAGTGCCTATTACCCAGAAAAGGAGCAGAAGTGTTGTACCACTGGGCTGCAACAGCAATCCAGGAAGTAGTTGTGAGAAAGCAGGTTAAAGGATCAATTGAGGCAATTGTAATTTCACACTGGGAGCTAAGAATTTTCTCCATTTCATAGATGGGGACACTGAGAGATCCTTCATTTCTCTGTGTATGTCTACACTGAAAATGTTAGTGGCACAGCTGAAGCTGTGCTGCTCTAGTGCTTCAGTATGGATTCTTCCTATGCCACTGGGAGTAGTTCTTCCATTGGCGTAGGTAATCCACTTCCCCGAGAGATGGTAGCTAGGTCAATGGAAGAATGCTTTCTACACCGGGGGTTAGGTTGGCATAGCTACATCACTTAGGGGTATGGATTTTTCACACCCCTGAGAGACGTAGCTGTGCTGATGTAAGTTTCCAGTGTAGAACAGTCCTAAGTGACCTGCCCAAAGTATCACAGACACTCAGTGGCAATGTCAGGATTAGAACTCCCAGTTGTGTGCTCAGTCTACTAGAGCATGTTACCTCTAATACCTCTCACTAGTAGTATAACTGAATTAACACCGGTTGCAATAGCTTTTGGAATATTGGCTGCTAAAATATATAGCAGTAGCAAATGTAAATCCACTTGGGGCCAAATGTTTATTTAGGTAAAACTCTCTTTGATTTCAATCCTTGATTATACATTGAGTTTAGACTATAGGACTTAGTCCACAGCAACCAACTTACATCAAAATGATTCATCACATTTTCTTGTGTTTCTAAAGTGAAAAATCTATTCAATACCCTGGATGTGTGTTCCACTAATAGTGTGCAAACTACAGTATTCAGACCCATTCGTAATGCTCCAGTACTATGGTGGTTGGCATGGCATAAAATCTTAGAGGGAAATGCCTTCAGTATATAGTAAGATAAATCA